ACTCTGGGTGAGCGGAGAGTCCGGGGTTGTGGTGGCTATGTCCTGCCACCGGAGGTTGGCTATTTCCTTTGGTGCAATGTGGCGAGGAATGCCAAGCGTGACCGAGCGAACTCAGTCAAGCTAGGGTGGTGCGGAGAGTGGGCGAGCCTTCGTGGACTCCTTTTCCCATTTTCCTAAAGATCCATCAACCCTTCGCAGCCGTTGGGGGTCATAAGAGTTGGGGACCCTCGGAGAATAGTAATCCAGTATCACTTGTTCCCTCAGATCCTACACTTTATGTACGTGTATCTGTGCTCCCTGAATCTCCATATCCTGACCTCCACATCTGCACCCTAAATACCGCTGCTCCGGTGACTGCGTGTATGCCCAAAGTTGTGGTAGGCTTCTATTCGCCTCAACCGTTAGGGATGCCAATCGGGCCGATTTTGGCGGCAAAAACGTGACCGGTCTATTCGAGGATTTTGGGAAAAAAAGGGGGGCACGCGGATTGTTGGTTCTCAGCTCAGCTCTTGAAATCATACCGATCAAAGTCCCCCGCCCCCCATTCGACGTTTACTTCGCGTTTTTCAGAGACGGGGTGCGTGTCTCTCATCAAGGCCATGGCGATGGGGGCCATCCCGATCACGAGTCGATTCCCGACATCCACCCTCCCGGAGTTGACAGACCAGTGGGATATGGGACCCCCCGAGGCCCTCGCCAGCCACCATTTGGTAAGTACTTAGATATGCACACATTTGTAGTTTGGTCCGATTTTGTCATTTTCTCGGTCGATCTGATCTGGTGTGCTTCACCAAATGACATCCACATGTAGCACAGATTCGTTGAACAGTCTGGAACATGCACCTGGTCTTTGTCATGCTTCGTGACGGCCTACGTTCCACTTCCACCAGCACTACCTTTGCAACTGCCGCTTCGAAACCGCTCCATCAAAATGAAGCCTGTAGGCGCTCGAACAACTCTACACTGCGTGCAGAAGTCTACCACCAGGTTGTTGCAATCAGATTGTCCCCGATGTCGTTCCACCCAGAAAAAAGCACCAATAACCTCCAAAACACCAATCGTCAGCCATTGGCATCTCGTACAGTATATCGTGAGGTAGGTCCTCATCGTGGGGTATTGTACACCCTGCCCCCCCCTATGCTCTTACTGTGAACACCCCGCTTGGATGTTATCTTGTTGCTTCCCCTAAACAGCTGCCAGAGCATGACATGCCTTGGTTGAAAAGCTGGGCCAGGGCAGTCGTGCACGCTTCCAAGACCGATACCTCGGAACGAATACGCCAAAGGGGGGCACCAAAAGCAGACGCCCGATCGGAAATCCCCGAAACGGACGCCAGCGAAAGGGGTGCCAGAACACACAGACAAGGGGCGACTGCTTACGATGATGACCGGGAACACGACGCCTCGCAAGGCTTTGAAAGTGTTGTCGGTCAAGGACGACGTCGTCGCTTTGGCGGCGTGCAGGACCGGCGGGAAGATATGAAGGCCGCCGTTAGAGAGCGGTACGCCTTCAGCTCGACGGCAATGCTTTGGGCGAGGGAGATGACGGGGGACGGCGCCGACACTCGGCCTCAGGGGGGTGCTCTCCTGTTCAATCCATAGCCTTAGGACTATCCTCGGGCTACATCTATTTCAGTGCAAGTTTCAGCCGGGAACGCTTGAGATATTTCCAGCTAAGGGCTAGCGACGGTGTGATCAATGGATTTGGACCGTATCCCCGGTTTCGTTGTCTCCCCCACATGCTGACAACTGCAATAATGTGCCGTTTTCACTTCACGAACTTTCAGTTGAGAAAGCTGAAGAATCGGAAGCAACCGCCTCAAGGTGTGGTGTGTTTTCGAGGTGGTCTTTGTGAGTACGCTATGAGTGGTGTAGGTGGTAGAAGCTAGCAAACCATGCTATTGGCCAGCTTCGTTGTTGCCACCGTTTTCTTGATTTGTCTGTATGGATGCCCTCTACTCTGGGTGAGCGGAGAGTCCGGGGTTGTGGTGGCTATGTCCTGCCACCGGAGGTTGGCTATTTCCTTTGGTGCAATGTGGCGAGGAATGCCAAGCGTGACCGAGCGAACTCAGTCAAGCTAGGGTGGTGCGGAGAGTGGGCGAGCCTTCGTGGACTCCTTTTCCCATTTTCCTAAAGATCCATCAACCCTTCGCAGCCGTTGGGGGTCATAAGAGTTGGGGACCCTCGGAGAATAGTAATCCAGTATCACTTGTTCCCTCAGATCCTACACTTTATGTACGTGTATCTGTGCTCCCTGAATCTCCATATCCTGACCTCCACATCTGCACCCTAAATACCGCTGCTCCGGTGACTGCGTGTATGCCCAAAGTTGTGGTAGGCTTCTATTCGCCTCAACCGTTAGGGATGCCAATCGGGCCGATTTTGGCGGCAAAAACGTGACCGGTCTATTCGAGGATTTTGGGAAAAAAAGGGGGGCACGCGGATTGTTGGTTCTCAGCTCAGCTCTTGAAATCATACCGATCAAAGTATACTTTATCCTCCGTATGTTTGTCAAGAGTCCCTGCGTCCAGGAAGCGATGTGGCTCTTCATACGTTACACACATCTGGAGACAGGTCATCTACACGTGACTGCGGGTTCGTTTTCTACTGACGTTCAGAGGGCGGGCGAACAATACAGAAAACCCTATGAAATTCGGTTTGAAGGCTCACACGCTCGTGGCCGCGTTTGGTGATCGTAGAACAGCGGATCCGCAGCGCACAGCCTCGGGTTTTCAGCGACACAACGCAAGAAATCGAACTAGAATCGCACGAACTACCAGCGAGAACCGCATGTCTGAAAATGGCCAGTCAAGCAAGCCAAGCACCGCGGTCGAGGTCCCCCCAAAAAGCAAACGCTCGGCCTTCGGCGCGGGAGGAAAAAATCGATTTCGTCGCAACCTCAAGAAAAACGAAAGCAAATACATAAGAGCGGGAGGGGCGGACCTTTGCCGACGCGGCCGGAGCAGCGCACACACAGCGCGCGGTCGAAAGGGGCGGTGTTGCCGTCGCGCAGAAAGCGCTGGTAGAAAAGGAGCAGGATGTGATCGAAAGTAGACAGCGCGAGGCGGCGAGCGCCGCTGGGTGCAGCATTGCTCAGGAACTCGCGCGAGAGAGCACCGAGGCGCTGAAGGAGGAGAAGGCTAAGAGAGAGGAGGCAGAGCGGTCGCAGCAAGAGGCAGAGCAGAGGCAGCACGGGGCTGAACGAGACAAGGCGAAGGCGGAGGCGGGGAGGCGCAGGGTGGAGGAGAAAAACCGCGAGATGGACGAGGAGCTGACCCGCTTGCGAGGCTCGGCAAAAAAGCTCCGCAAAACAACGGCAGCCTGAGCGAGGTAATAAGCGGCCAAGGGCCTCAAAAGAGTAGTTGGATCGAAGCACATTCGGATTGTTTGAAGGCTGCCGCTTTCTCACCGTTATATAGTCTAACCGCTGCTGCTGCTGCTGCTGCTACTGCACAACAATCGGCTTTGACTTGCGCGTGTGTAGGATATCCCGCTTCCTCCTGCCTTTCGCATTGATTGATCAACGACACGCACACACGTCTTTGCTTTCCTGTTGCTGTCTTGTGCGTCAGAGAGCAAAGGCTCCGCGTCCACACGCAAGCGGATTTGACGAAGATGAAGCTCAGCGATGCCTACGTCGCCGCCGTTCGGCTTGTGGTGATTGGCGGTGATATTTTTAAGCAGCTCTCGCAGATATTTACAAAGCACCGCAAACACGCCGTCGCGATTGTGCCGATCGGAGAGGAACTCATTCCATTCGACCCCCACCGGCGTGGAGTCGTCTACACCAAACCGAACGGGTTGCCTCGCGAATGAGGGTTTCTCGCCCGGTGCCTTCTTCGCCCCACCCACGAATCTATGGGTTGGCTTATTCGCGCCTCCCGCGCCTCCCGACGGCACACTTATTCGACTGGCGTGCGCGACCGCCTTCGGCCCACCAACTTTAGTCCTTTTGTCGAAGCAAAGAACCACGTCTCCTTTGATCCTTCCTTCCCTCGAGCACAAATTGTAGAACAGGTTTTCCAGCACGTTGTCGGCGTACTCTCGCCACGTCTTGAATACCCTCTGTCGGCCGTTGGCGTAGGTCCGTGGAGACACTTGATGAACTATGGTCGCCATGTCTACGGCACACGTGTGCGGTTCTCGTGCGTCACCTGCCAAAATATTGACCGAGGCGCCACGCGCGTAGTCACTGTCGAAGACCTTCGCGATCCCTGACTTTGAAATTCCATGCAAGGCGCCGGAGAAACTTCCCATCTGCAGGGGTATGCCGCCCACCAGAGGCACCATCCCCCCTTTTCGCCCCCCTGCCTGTGACAGCCGGCCGACGTTTTTCTGGAGATCTGCAACTTGGTTGTCCTTGGCGGCGCCCGCTCGCGTGTTGCTCTTCTTTTTTACATTCCCAGATGAAAAGGTGTCGAGACGAACTCGTTTTCGCCCTTTGACGGGTTGACCTGTTCCTTTCGTGCCGCCCTCTAGCTGTCCGGCAGTAAACTCCTCCATGACCAAGGTCTGATCATAGATGTCAAAGTTTCGCGAGCTCTGAGCATTCTTTTCTCGAGGTGCGGGAGTGCGATACCGCCATCAGCTGATATGACGGAGAGGCGCCCCTTTTCATCGGTAAGCTTGATCGGACTCCCCGCGGCGGTGAGTATGTCGAACACCTTCTTTACGAGTATGGTGCGATGGTGACTAGCGTGGAGCTTCCGTTCGTACACGCCGATGCTGCCAAACGACTCTTTCCATGCACGAGCTGCGTTGTTCATAGTCTGCAGCGTTAGGGCAAGCCGTTGGAGGTACCTTACATCGGTCCCATGCGCCGCTTGTTTGATCTCCTTGTTCATGGTCATCTCTTGGATCTCGTCGAGACCAACGTTCTTTCCGGGATTCCCAGCGAGCGACAAGCTAAACATCCCGCGCAAAAACTCCCGTTCCGATGGGCGCAAGTTCGCAATGTCGGCGAGGTGTTGGATGGTCAAGGCGTGGTACAGGTTTTTATTGTAGTCCAAGAACAGCGGTGCGATTTGGCGAATTGCCGCCTCGCGTAGGTCAAAGTCGCCCACCCGTATTGAGATGTAGACCGCAAGGTACGCCATGCCATCATCGAGCAGGAGCTCTGCCCATTGCCCAAATGTCTTGTGCTTGGTGCTTCCGCGGTACTGCACAAGACGCCCAAGCAGCTCCTCGGCCCCCATGGGCCCGTCAGTGCTGTGTTGCGACTTGATCTCGCCGACACAGGCTCTCCACAGCGCCTCCAAGATTCCCGTAAAGGCAAAGTGCCGCTTGTGGTAATTCTTGGACTCCAACTTTTTGGTGTAGGCATCAGCAGCCTTTGTAAGTGGAATAACGCAAAACCCCCCCCACTTCCTGAACAGGACGTCTAGGGTGTGCTCCAGTAGGTGCCAGTCGCCAATCCACGGCAACACCCAGTCATACTTGGCGCCGAATTGTTTCTCCGCTTTATGGACCAGGGTAAATGTCTCTTGATCCCCCGCTACGACTGCTCGAGCTCGCCCGCCCTCTGCGCCTATGTGGATCACGTGTTGGAGGCCGTCCAGGAACGTCACGATGTCCTTCACCACCTTGGTTGTCACGTCAATCACACCTATAGATATTTTGTTGTGACTTCCTCCGGTATACGGCGGCCCTCCACACCCACCCTTTTCTCGGGTGCAGCGTCACGGATCACTCTTCTCGCCAACCGCAACTCAAAATCACCATCTTCTTTCACAGCAGGTTCCTGCACACACGCGAGGACCTGTGCCCTGAAGCGCTCCCAGGTCAACACCATTCTCGGTTCGCTGGTCCCGAAATCGCGGACGAAGTTCAACTTTGGGGGTCGTTGCGGTAACTCCGCCCTCTGCCTCCGTGACGCCGAGGTATGATAGTAGGCAATTGCTGCCACTAGATCGACATGGCTACTACCTCCAAAATGCCTCTTCACATCCAAGTTGACGTTGTCGAAGCTACACGCAACAAGACGGGAACCAATTTCTTCATTTCGCGTTCGCTGCCGAGCCTATCCGCCAGCCTCGTCCTCATACGCCACAACTGATTGTCGGTCCGGGTAATTCTGAGAGCGTGCGCCACGAAATCCAAGCCATGCCGGCCTACCCCTTGCTTCTTCAGGAAAATGCCTAGCACGCTGGCATTTTTGTACCACGAGCCACACGCGAACGACGTCAACACTCCAGCTATCAGGCATTTCCGGCCGATCTCCTCCTGTTCATGTTCCTCCTCCGAAATTAACTCGTTTTCGCCCTTTGACGGGTTGACCTGTTCCTTTCGTGCCGCCCTCTAGCTGTCCGCAGTAAACTCCTCCATGACCAAGGTCTTGAACATAGATGTCAAAGTGTCGCGAGCTCCGAGCATTGTTTTCTCGAGGTGCGGCAGCACTTTACAAGAGGATCGCGCTGGAAGGAAAGAACAGTTCGAGGTCAACGGAATTTCCCGAACCCTGAAGCGATCTGGTAACGTGGACAGCACTTCGACAAATAGGTTGTCGCTGGAAAAATAAAGTGAGAGCTGTTTACAAGTTCAATGGACGGGAAAATGAATCCTCTGAATGGAAATACACGAGAGGCGCCCCTTTTCATCGGTAAGCTTGATCGGACTCCCCGCGGCAGTGAGCATGTCGAACACCTTCTTTACGAGTATGGTGCGATGGTGACTAGCGTGGAGCTTCCGTTCGTACACGCCGATGCTGCCAAACGACTCTTTCTATGCACGAGCTGCGTTGTTCATTCTCTGCAGCGTTAGGGCAAGCCGTTGGAGGTACCTTACATCGGTCCCATGCGCCGCTTGTTTGATCTCCTTGTTCATGGTCATCTCTTGGATCTCGTCGAGACCAACATTCTTTCCGGGATTCCCAGCGAGCGATAAGCTAAACATCCCGCGCAAAAACTCCCGTTCCGAGGGGCGCAAGTTCACAATGTCGGCGAGGTGTTGGATGGTCAAGGCGTGGTACAGTTTTTTTTTGTAGCCCAAGAACAGCGGTGCGATTTGGCGGATTGCCGCCTCGCGTAGGTCAAAGTCGCCCACCCGTATTGAGATGTAGACCGCAAGGTACGCCATGCCATCATCGAGCAGGAGCTCTGCCCATTGCCCAAATGTCTTGTGCTTGGTGCTTCCGCGGTATTGCACAAGACGCCCAAGCAGCTCCTCGGCCCCCACGGGCCCGTCAGTGCTGTGTTGCGACTTGATCTCGCCGACACAGGCTCCCCACAGCGCCTCCAGGATTCTCCTAAAGGCAAAGTACCGCTTGTGGTAATTCTTGGACTCCAACTTTTTGGTGTAGGCATCAGCAGCCTTTGCAAGTGGAATAATGCAACCCCCCCCCCACTTCCTGAACAGGACGTCTAGGGTGTGCTCCAGTAGGTGCCAGTCGCCAATCCACGGCAACACCCAGTCATACTTGGCGCCGAATTGTTTCTTCGCTTTATGTACCAGGGTAAATGTCTCTTGATCCCCCGCTACGACTGCTCGACCTCGCCCGCCCTCTGCGCCTATGTGGATCACGTGTTGGAGGCCGTCCAGGAAGGTCACGATGTCCTTCACCACCTTGGTTGTCACGTCAATCACACCTAGATATTTTGTTGTGACTTCCTCAGGTATACGGCGGCCCTCCACACCCACCCTTTCCTCGGGTGCAGCGTCACGGATCACTCTTCTCGCCAACCGCACCTCAAAATCACCATCTTCTTCCACAGCACGTTCCTGCACACACGCGAGGACCTGTGCCCTGAAGCGCTCCCAGGTCAACACCATTCTCGGTTCGCTGGTCCCGAAATCGCGGACGAAGTTCAACTTTGGGGGTCGTTGCGGTAACTCCGCCCTCTGCCTCCGTGACGCCGAGGTATGATGGTAGGCAATTGCTGCCACTAGATCGACATGGCTACTACCTCCAAAATGCCTGTTCACATCCAAGTTGACGTTGTCGAAGCTACACGCAACAAGACCGGCGCAGACGGGAACCAATTTCTTCATTTCGCGTTCGCTGCCGAGCCTATCCGCCAGCCTCGTCCTCATACGCCACAACTGATTGTCGGTCCGGCTAATTCTGAGA